AGAGAAAGCCTTCCCCTGGAGCTGACGTCCTGAATTTGGACTTCTAGCCTACTTTACCGTGAAGAAATAAATTTCTCTTTGTTAAAGCCATCCACTTGTGATATTTGTTACAGCAGCACTAGATGACTAAGGCGGATTTGCAGAAAAGGTTTATGACTTGAACGTTTTGGGGTCTCCACTGTGCCAGGCACTGTGCTGGGCTTGGAGGATATAGAGCTAATTAGATAGTTCCCATCTCCTGGAGTCAATGGAAGAGGCAGAAAAACAGGTAACTGGACCATCCCATTGGAGAGTCATTGCTATGATGGCAAGCTCGGTGTTCCTGCATCCCAGAGCTGCCAGCATCACCCAGACAGAGAGGATGCAGGGGCAGCTGCCAGGAGGAGAGGGTGCTTCAATGACTGGACCGAGCAACTGTCACCCATGACCCTCAGGGCCAGCTCATATTTATAACTCTGTGCTTGCCAGCGTCCGTAAGCACCTGAAAAAGAAGGTTCTCTGTGCTCTGCCGCCATATGAAAAAATTTTCTGTATGGCATTTTCTCATATACAGATGCAGGGTAAAAATAAGCCTTGTCCCAAAGGAAAATGAGACGCAAGCTAAGGGACAGCAGGCAAGTGGTGGCCCTGGCAGAAGTCATCAACACTCCGCCAGCCCTGCTTCTCCCAGCAACACCATCAGCAGTGACCCAGAAGGCTGGTGCTCCCTTCAGGGCTTTCTGCCTTGGGGTGCAATTTAGTTACAGTATCCCCTATGCGGGGGGCGCGACGCGGCTGCAGGAGCGAGAAGGGGAAGCTACCTACACACAGGCACCGGACGTGCTATGAAAAGACAGGGGCAGCCCGGATTCTGGACAGTAGCTGCGAACTGGTGTACTGGGGGGAGGCAAGGCCTCCTAGAAAACAGATGTTGTCATGGCAGCTCACAGATGGGGGGGCAAAGGAGACAGCAGTGAGTGAGGGTCAGAGGCAATGGAGGGTTAGTGGAAAATGCTCCAGATAAGATGAAAACATCTGGGTTTGAGTCCCACCTTTCTGACCTTGTAATAGTCACTGAACATCCCTGAGCCTCACTGTCCTCATCTGTAAAATGGAGATAAAACAGCCACCCTCTTGGGTTGTTGTAAAGGTTAAACACATGAATATGAGAAAATGCATCTAGTAAGCTAAGGCTTATTAATGTTTGGAGTCCCTGGGTGGTACAAATGGTTATTGTGTTTGGCTGCTAACCGAAAGGTTGGACGTTGGTGTCCACCCAGAGGTGCTTCAGAAGAAAGGCCTGGCGATCAACTTCCAATAAATCTATCACTGAAAACCCTATGGAGTACAGTTCTACTCTGACACACATAAGGTTGCCATGAGTAAAAGTTGACTCGATGGCAACTGTTGTTTTGTTTTTTGTTTAATAAACAGAACAGTGAGAAGTTGTTTATCACCTTTCTGCTTTAACTTCTTCCTCTGTAAAACAGGAACATACTACTACTTACCCTCAAGGGTTTGAGGAGGAAATCTCGTAAGTGACTCTCAAATGTGAGTGTGTCAGAATCACCTGCAGGGCTTGTTAAAACAGACTGCTGGGCCCCAACTCCAGCAGTTCTGATTCAGGAGGTCTGGGGTGGGGGCCAGGAAGCCCTGGTCAGTAGTGGTTAAAGAGTTCAGCTGCTAACCAAAAGGTTCGTGGTCCAAACCCACCAGCAGCTCCGTGCAAGAAAGATGTGGCAGTCTGCTTCTGTAAAGATTTACAGCCTTGGAAACCCTGTGAGGCAGTTCTACTCTGTCCTATAGGGTTGCTGTGAGTCAGAATTGACTCAATGGCACTGGGTTTGAGGGTGGGGAAGGAGAGTTACCTGCATCCAGATGATGCAGATGCTGCTGGTCCAGGGACCACACTTAGAGAGCCACTCACTGGTCTCTATAAAGCATGGAGAAGAATGTCTATAGCAAAGACTCAGGGTGTCAGCTGTGATTATTTTGAGAGCATATAAGGGGTGTTCTAGGGATTTAAAGAACATTATCTTCAATACCTCTGGAATGGAGAGCACCTGTTTTTTTCTTTTTTCTCCCCACTTTTCTAAAACAAGTAAAATGCAGCATCCCTCCTTCCAGCTTCCATCACGTCTCTTGAGACCTTGGAATTGACACATCTTCCAGGAGTTCCTGAAGAAAAATGCAAAGAGGAGAGAGAACCCAGGACATAGGCTGCTATTGTGTAAATAAATAACAAAGCCCTG